ACATAATCCCATTCATTTTCAATGGAGAGCTGGCGACTTCCGGCGACACGAGCGACAGTAACCGTTGGCGATGGAATGTGGGCGTGTCAAGCGATGCGAGTCATGAGGCGAAAAACATCCCGCGAGTAACCAACCATGGTGAGGATAAATGCGATCGCTGCTTTGTACCTGTTGTGGAAATCCCAAAAATGCCGGAAAGCCAAACGCAGACGTGTCTGGGTTCACAGCACCATACAGAGGCGCACACAACTCGGTGAATTTCACCGTCTTCTCCAGGAACTGCGCCTGGATGACAGCCGCTTCCAGCGCTACTTTAGGATGACGGGTGCCCAGTTTGATAACCTGCTAGCTAGGGTCGCTGCCAGAATTTCTCGGATGGACACCAACTACAGGCGATCCGTCTCAGGTGTCTCAGGCGAGGGGCAGTTTCACAGCGATTATTTTGCACTTCATTTCAATATTTAATTTCGTTTATTATACGCAAAAGTTTTGCGTTAAAAGCATTTCTAAATTCAGGTCATATTTACAACAAACGAAAAATCAAGCCAAAATAACGAAGTGGTCAAAAAACTGAGCTATGGAGTTTGGATCGATCAGCACTGTAGCTGATCAATATAATGCCATTTAAAATGGAAATAAATACTATATTTAAAAGCCTGCCAAGTAAAGTATACAATATGTGTAATGTCAGCAATATTTACTTATAGTAACAAAGTATGCATTCTCCTAAAATATCAGTGTATTATATGTTTTAGGTTGAGTATTAATCCTGCATTAATGTGCATTACACATTTTACTAAAGTATATACACTGACATTATTTGGCATAATTTTTTTGTAGCCTCTTTGTAGCCATGTTAATAAAATACAAATACCATACTACAGCTGATTTGACTTGTTTTCTATGCTCCAGATACCTTGCCACAGGTGACTCCTTCAGGACAATCGCCAACAGCTTCCATGTTGGGGTCTCCACAGTCACCAAGATTGTCCCTGATGTTGCCACTGCAATTTGGGACTGCCTCGTGGAAGAGTTCATGCCGGTGCCCACCACAGAGGAGTGGAGGTCAATTGCAGTGAAGTTTGAGGAGAAGTGGAATTTTGCTCTTTGCTGTGGAGCTGTTGATGGGAAACATGTTGTCCTGAAAGCGCTTCCTAACTCAGGATCCCAGTTTTACAACTACAAGGGAACTTTCTCCTTGGTTCTCTTGGCAGTTGTGGATGCCCAGTATTGTTTCAGGGTAATTGATGTCGGGGGCTATGGGAGGACCAGCGATGGTGGGATTCTTGCTAACTCAGCTTTTGGTCAAGCACTTCGATCAGGCACCCTCCAACTCCCTGCTGACCTGCCACTACCTCGAGCTGACCACCGAGGACCCCAGCCACATGTGTTTGTTGCTGATGAGGCTTTTCCACTACGTAGAAACCTCATGAGACCATTCCCCGGGCACATCCTTCCAAGAGAGCATCGCATCTTTAACTACCGTCTGTGCCGGGCTCGGCTGGTTGTTGAAAATGCCTTTGGGATCCTTTCGTCCCAGTGGAAGATGTACAGGCGTGCCATTGAGGTTCACCCTGATGTTGCAGAGATGTGTGTTAAAGCCACCTGTGCTCTCCATAACTTCCTGCGGAGGACAACCCAGACACCTGCAGTGAGGATGAACATCCCAGCTGGTGAGGTGGAGCCACTGCCAGGTCTGGGAAGACTTGCTGCTAACAACTCGGCTAGAGAGGCCATCAGGGTCAGGGAGGCCTTCACATCCTACTTCTCTGCTGAGGGAATGGTCTCATGGCAAGATGCTGTCTAGTGCAAAAGCATACCCTAAACTGTTCTTGAGCCACATTCCTGACTATCTGTTTTGAGTCATGACATGTACAAGGCACATTTTGTTTCCTTTATACTTTAGTAAAAAAGCTACAAAAAACCCACTTCATCCTTAATGAACCAAAGTACTTTAATTCTTTAAAAACTGATTTGTGAACATAATTGTAAATTGTAACAACAA